TCAATTGCAATAAGTGACCGCCGTGAGGCTATAATCGACCTGTCGACCTTAAGGCACTAGTTGAGAATCTGCATCTTTTTTTCCAAAGTGTGGCTGGCATTGGCGTTTGCAGTTTCCGCATACAGAGCATCGCTTATTATAACGGTGCCCATTATGACGCTGTCATTTGTCAACACGTAAACCTTTCGATAGTCTACTGAGTTTTCCCTCCTCTCGTGTCTATTCTGTCGCAACAACTTGTTGTCATATTTTAGAAAACTCATTGTGTTGACAGTGTTAAGATGATATTAACATTTCTCCTGTTGTCGTGTTTCATTCTACACACGAGCAGCCAGTTTGCTTGTCCCGCGGGATGGACCCAACACGCTAAGTTTTGTTACTTGATAAACACCGCGTCTAAACTGACTTGGTCCGAGGCCGATGGTCGCTGCCGAGCGGCTGGCGGTGAATTGGCCGTGCCCGTAACGGGGGAAGAGGTAGATTTCCTTTGGACCACGTTCCGGGCACAGAACATGAGGGAGGCCCAGCTGCAACCCGACGCAGGGATCTGGGTGGGCTGTCGGCGGACCGCCGGGGTGTGGGGCTGCACAAACACCACTACGCTAGATTTCGCACCGTGGAGAAAACACCAGCCTGACGGCAGTGGCGACTGTGTGATGATGTTGCACAGGATGCCCAAGTGGTCCGACGTCAACTGCGGGAAGCCGAGGTTCACCGCGTGCCAGCGCCGAGGCAGAGCGGAGTGTGCGCGGCAGGGCCGGTGCCATCAGCGGGGCGGCCCGGGGCACCCAATCCACGGCTGCCTGCAGAACCACGTCCTGAAAGAAGTCCAAGTCAGAGACCCGGCCATGTGCTGTATCAAGTGCGTCAATGACCCGCGATGCCGCTCCTTCAACCTCGTTGGGAGTACATGCCAACTCAACACAGCCCAGCGCTCTGACGTCAACTTCAATGGAGAGACTGCAACCAACGACACTTGCGTTTATTACGAAATCTACTAGATGTTCATGAATATTGACACTGTCCAATAATTGACACTGAGCAACTATAAGGATATTCAATTTGGAAAAACAACAAACTTCATTGTTTCAAATCGGAGAACTTGCAAGCAAACTTTTTCAGGGGACCTGGAGGAATAAAATGAGCCGATTCAAGTTGCATCCATATCCCGTGCTCTCTAAAAAAAAATTGGATTTTTTTTTTACAAGACAAATTGCAGTTTGTATGTATGACGGGAAAAGCTACTTTATACCGATTTGGGGCGTCTGCAACCCCCTGAACCCTGACAAGGGTGGATCCAGAACACAATTTGGCGGGCCCAAAAAAAAATTGGTCCCCCAAAAAGTGGGTCAAAAAAATTACGGCGTGGGGTTCAATTTTTTTGGATTCTAGATGCCATATGGTGCAATCTGAGGCAATTTCTGACCACTGGAAAAGATGGTGGTGTACTCATTGCCTGCATTTATTGCGATGTCACATAAAGAAAAAACAAATTGGTTTCGTTTGGGGGGGGGCATTGCCCCTTTGGCCCCCCCCCCCCCCCCTGGATCCGCCCTTGAACCCTGAAAAGGGGCCATTCATTCTGAGCGAAAAACACATTTTGTGAAGAAAAAATTCAATAAGTAAACGTCGGTGCATTTTTTTCTTTCGATGTCTCATTCAAAAGTGAAAAGTATTACATTTCAAGGAAAATGGCAATTTCTTTGAGGCGAAACTCGAAAATAGAACGGGGAACGCATCTTTAAATGAGGAAAGAATACACTTCGCAACAGAAGGGGTGATGTGGGACTGCATTGACGATGCGGGACTACATTTTAGCCACTTGGTTTTTTTTTTCAACAAAGACTATTTGGCCTATTTAGTTGTGATCGAAAAACATTTTCGGAGATTGATTTCAGCGAAGTGTGTCCACTCATTTCTTAATAATACTTGTTGTTTTAGACGCTAGAGGGCAGCAGATTACTTGCCCTATATTTCTTGATCTATATACATGTATAATTAGCATTGTGCGTCCTGTAAACTTCAAACTTGTTGACAATATATAGCTATAGCCGGCATTTCATTGCCTTTCATGCATGCCTTAATCCCGTTTTCATACACTTCTCTTTGTAACTGCGTGGACCTTATGAAAAAAGGGTAAATCGTCCTGAAATCGCTGGAAATTGTATGTATACAAACGATTGTTTACTCATCCTATTTCAAAGGTGGGGTTGAAAGAGAACTAACCTATTGCGTACTGTTCCTGAGAAAAGACGAATAAAACGTGGTTGTTTATCTGGCGCAGCAGACATTTTGTGGCATGCGCATACGAGCTCCTTAACACAACAATTTGCTTAGCATGAAAAGTCTGCCTTGGCAATAAAAACAGGATTACCAACCAAATGTCCATGTGATGTATTTTGTTTGTGATTGGTATTCAGCTGTTGTTTGTTTAGCATGAAAATCACATGGAGTTTTGGGTGGTTACCTGCTTTTGTAAGCCAGACTTTTTCGTACTAAGCACATTGTTATGCTTAGCATCTCCATGAAATTGGCCCCTGAACAACCACGTCAGCTGCCGCGTCATCCGAATTGTTCACACAGTGGTAGATATATTTGCATCCACGTTTGAAGCTATGTTTGTATATCGCGTGTGGATGTATTTTGCATGTACTGTGCAGTGACGATCGTGAGCTAGCAATTCACAAACACATTGGTGTCAATATTGCCGCGATGACACCCATCAGCAGTGCGAGATTTTGTCAAGGAATTTAAGAGTATGGTTGGATGAACTGGTACTTAAGTGTCACTGTGGATGGAAATCAGTTTGAGCTGCAGTACAGCAGTAGCGCTTTGAAAACTAGCCACCACCAACACAAAAATGTTTTGGAAGCCTGGGAGAGTGGGAGTTTATAACTAGTACATACGTGCATGAGCATGTATATATGTACATCTATACAAGTAAATGTACAATATTATATGTACAATTACACTAACATGTACATATACACGCCAAGGGCGGATCCAGAACACAATTTTTTGGGGGGCCCAAACATTTTTTAGATCCCCAAAAAAGTGGGTTAAAAAATTACGGCGTGGGGTTCGGGGCCCGCTTAAGGGCCCCGAATTTTTTTTGGATTCTAGATGCTCTGTGGTGTGATCTGAGGCAATTTCTGACCACTTTAACCAATGTTTTTTGAGGAAAAGATGGTGGTGTACTCATTGCCTGCCTTTATTGCGATGTCACATAAAAAAAAATTGGTTTCGTTTAGGGGGGAGGGGGCCATGACCCCCTTTGGCCCCCCCTCCCCCCCCCCCGATCCGCCCTTACACTCATACATGTCAACCCTCAACCGAAGTTTGTGGATTTTTCGTTTTTGTCAAATCTCACCCCTCCAGCAATTCTGATTAAAATGGCCTCGTCCATTTATTCCACTGGTTGCACCTTTACGAGCAATCAGTCCATTACCCGCTTGGCACGGTTTTCGCTAGGTGTGACAACGTTGCCATGAATACGCTACAAAAATGCATGATTATACCAGTCTCAATACGTGCATTATTGCGTCATCTGTAAGTGACTGTCGTGAGGCTATAATCGACTGCTCGAACTTGCCCTCCAGTGGCGTATCCAGCGGGGGAGGGGCAGGGGGAACTCCCCCCCCCCGCCCCCCTCTGCCCGGCGGATTTTTTCAACCAAATTTGTTTGTCAGCATTGATTTAAATAAATGTTTTTTAGAGTTCTTCTGACATCAGTCCCACCAAAGAAAACCCGCTCAACAACAATTACAATGCGCCATGGAAATGTCCATATAATATGTAGTATGCATAATAATGGTCAGTTTTGAAGAGCGTCTTTATTTGGGAGATGGGTACCAGCGTGATTTTCCGATTTGGTTTCGGAGTGCACAGTGAACCCTTTCAAAATTCCCCCCAAAAATAAGAACATAATTTTCTGACAAATTTCAAGTTGGGTATGTAAGAAGAGATAATAACGATTTATCAGAATTTGTCAACTTTACAAAAATTCTTTAATGTTAATTTGAAATTGTCGTTGATTTATTCAAGTGCGCCACGCTAGGGAACACTCAGCCGATTTTGTGCCCAATTTCCGGAAGCCGCCGTTTTTTAAGTTTCGGATTAAAATTCATGACAACAAGATTGTTCACAGAGGTTATATAGCAAGCACTAATAAGGTAAAAGTATCAGTATTTCACTGAATAAATTTGAAGTTTGTCAACAAAGAAGTTTGGCAACGGGTAACTGTTACTTGGTGATCACCACTCATAGATTTGCATGGTCCGAGGCCGATAGTCGCTGCCGAGCGGATGGCAGTGAATTGCAGAATAGGTACAAAGCGTTTATCGCATTATACATAAATTCCCCTCCATGAACCAATTTTGTAGACAGCTCCAAACCTATCGCAAATTGCGACAGCAATTCTGATTAAAAATGGCCACCATTTATTCCGCTGGTTACATACACGGCAAGCACTATATTACTGTTTCGCTTGTATTGGTGTCATGGGCGTCGCCAGGATTTTTTTCTAGAGGGGGGCAAAGCACATCCCCCCCCCCCAAATCCTTGTACTTTCGCTTGCATATTCTCAGTTTATCTTCTTTTTTTCGAGGGTGGGCGGGGATATTTGTCCATCCCACCCCCATTGACCCCCCTGCAAGCGACCATTTTGTTAAATGTGTGTTAAATTAATAGCAATGACTGCACACCTCTTTTTCTTTTTTCTTTTTTTTCTTTTCTTTCTTTTTACTCTACCCGCCCCCTTCCGACGCCCATGCTTGGTGTGACAACGTTGCCATGACTACGCTTAAAAAATGCATGTTACTAATCCTACGCGAATTATTTCCTCATCAATAAGTGACTGCCGTGACCTCCCGTGAGGCTATTCAAACTAGTTGAGAATCTGCAGTGTGGCTGGCATTGGCATTTGCAGTTTCCGCATACAAGAGCATCGCTTATTATAAAGGGTGCCCATTATGACGCTGTCATTTTGTCAACACGTAAACCTTTCGATAGTCTACTGAGTTTTCCTCCTCTCGTGTCTATCCTGTCGCAACAACTTGTTGTCATATTTTACAAAACTCATTGTGTTGACAGTGTTAAGATGATATTAACATTTCTCCTGTTGTCGGGTTTCATTCTACACGCGAGCAGCCAGTTTGCTTGTCCCGCGGGATGGACCAAACACGCTGAGTTCTGTTACTTGATGATCACCACGACTAAATTGACTTGGTCCGAGGCCGATGGTCGCTGCCGAGCGGCTGGCGGTGAATTGGCCCTGCCCGTAACGAGGGAAGAGATACGTTTTCTTTGGACCATGTTCCGGGCGCAAAATCTGAGCGAGTCCGAGCTTCAACCCTCCGGGGGGATCTGGCTGGGCTGTCGGCGGACCGCCGCCAGACTGTGGGGCTGCTCAAATACCCCCACGCTAGATTTCGCATGGTGGTTGGGCGGTCAGCCTGACGGTGGCGACTGTGTGGTGATGTGGCACCACGGGCCCAGGTGGTCTGATGCCGAATGCGAGACGGCGAGGTTCGCCGCGTGCCAGCGGCGAGGCCGGGTGGGCCGGTGCCATCAGCGGGGCGGCCTGGGGCACCAGATCCACGGCTGCCTGCTGAACCACGTCTTGAGAGAAGTCCAAGTCAGAGACCCCGCCATGTGCTGTATCAAGTGCGTCGACGATCCACGATGCCACTCCTTCAACCTCGTTGAGAGTACATGCCAACTCAACACAGCCCAGCGCTCTGACGTCAACTTCAATGGAGAGACTGCAACCAACGACACTTGCGTTTATTACGAGATCGACTAGATGTTCATGAATATTGACACTGTCCAATAATTGACACTGAGCAACTATAAAGATATTCAATTTGGAAAACAACAAACTTCATTGTTTCAAATCGGAGAACTTGCTAGCAAACTTTTTTCAGGGGACCTGGAGGAATAAAATGTTTGAGAGAAACTATAAAGAAGTTCAATTTTGAAAACAACAAACTTCATTGTTTCTAATCGGGGAACTTTTTAGGGGATCTGGAGGAATAAAATGAGCCAATTCAAGTTGCATCCATACCCCGTGCTCTCGAAAAAAAAGAGTTTATTTCACCTAACAAATTGCAGTTTGTGTATAGGCCTATGTTTCGTTTTAACGGAAAAAGCTACTTTATACCGATGTTTGGCGTCCGTCTGCAACCTCTGAAACTTGGAAAGGGGCAATCCATTCTGCGCGAAAAACGAATCAGCCTTGCGATAGCTGCATTATTGTATGACAGCTAATGAATTCGAATTTTGTGAAGAAATAATTCAATAAGTAAACGTCGGTGCATTTTTTTTCGTTCGATGTCTCATTCAAAGGTAAATAACCTTTAAATTCCAGGAAAATAGCAATTTATTTTTCCAGGTCAAACTCGAAAATAAGCTTTCATCTTTAAATGAGGAAAAGGATACTCTTTGCAACAATTGGGGGATATATTGACGATGTTGTATTTTTTTCAACGAAGACTAATAGGCCCATAACTTAATTGTGGTCAAAGAATATTTAGATTGATTTCTTCACATGTGTTCGCTTATATATTATAGTTCGAAAAAATAATTGTTATTTTAGACGCTAGAGGGCAGCAGATTACTTGCCCTGTATTTCTTGACCTTTCTAAGCTTGGTTGACAAACTGCACATTTTGCCAACCAAGGGTTGCAAAACTATGGAAGGTCCAACACTGCAAAAATGAAGGAGAGTTATTACAGGTAACCGAAATATTATTTGATTGTTGGAAATACAACATTGTCAACAAAGCTACAACATAATTCCTAAACATGCCCTTTTACTATTGTATTGAAGGCATTATGAGGACTTTTTTGGGGGAAAATATGTTGCCAACCACAGCTTCAAAGTTTATGCGCTTTCGGCAGCCCACATAAAATGGCGCCAATGTTTACAAACAAAATTGTGCGCATGTCCTGTAAACTTCAAACTTGTTGACAATAGCCTGCATTTCATTGCCTTTCATGCATGTCTTAATCCCGTTTTCATTCGCTTCTCTTTATAAGTGCGTGGACTTAAATAAAATGGGCAAATCGTCCTGAAATCGCCGAAAATTGTATGTTTATACGATTGTTTACAGTGGCGTATCCAGAGAGGGACAGGCGGGCACTTTGCCCCCCCCCCCCCCCGGCTGATTTTTTGGAACGATATTTTTTCCCGTAACAATTTCCATAAATGGTTAGAGATTTCAGACATGAACACAAAAAAAGAAAACCAAACTCCAAAACCATTACATTGCGCCGTGAAAATCGGCATATATTTTGGAGTATGTACAATAATGGTCTGTTGTGGAAAGCCCCCCCCCCCCCCGCATTTGGAAGAAGGGAACCAGGGCGCCCCCCCCCCCCTGCGCTGTTTGATTTTACGGAGGCAAAGTGTCCGCGGAAAAAAGCTGGATTCGCCACTGATTGTTTACTCATCCTATTTCAAAGGTCTGGTTGAAAGGTAATGTCGTACTGTTCCTGAAATATCGAGAAAAGACGGAGAAACCGGTTGTTTACTTCTGACGCGGCGGTCATTTTGTGGCATACGCATACGTTTTTCTAGCCGTAAATATAGGTCTCTTTCTTGGACATTACGTTGCCCTCAGCAGTTGTCAGACGTTGTGTGTGTACACAAAATATGTACAAGTGCACACAGCACCAATACACACGTTGTTTCCAGCACGTCCGCAGCATGTGATGCGCTCATGGAACATGCGAGACTGGAATCACTACTAGCACCCAACAGCTCCAGTTTTGAGAGTCAAAATTTCATCCCCCAAAATTTGTTGTCGCAAGAATAACACAAAAAGGCCAATTTTCAAAGGAAGTCCGTGTGGACGTTTAGATTCTACCTTTAAGTGCTCTTTCCAATTAATATTGTTTAAAACGCGTTCTGTAGCCCAATTTGGCGCTTTCCCTGACGTAGTGTCCCTTTAAAATGAATAACGGTTATAGGTTACCTCCCTGCAATGGCGAATCGGGGGGGGGGGGGGGTAGGGAGTCTAACTCAACCTCCCCCTCCCCTCCCTGGGCTGCAGAAAAAATGGCAAAATCATTCAGAAAAAGTAGCACATGCCAGCAAAACCCCCCTCTTGGGCCAAAGATTGATCCGCCCCTGCCCTTTGTAATAGGGCCTTTATTGCACAAGTAGGTCAACCATGAAATAAAAGCCCCATTGAAGAATTAATATTCATGATGCTAAAAGCATCTGATACATTATATCACACTTAACGAATGGGAGCGAGAAGCGAGGTTTCATGGATTCAACTCGCTTATCAATAATTGATGGCGCCCTCTAATAGTCAAAGAACAATAAATTAAGCAACACAAAGGCATGTGCTTGACTGCTGTGAAAAATACTGATGAATCTGTTAATGCATTGCTTAATTCCCTTGACATCCTACACTCACGCATGTGCCTAAGCAGGAAACGATGCTCTATATTGACAGTATCTATAATCATGGGTCTCATGGCATTTCCTGACCTGAAATCATGTTGGGGGGTGTGGCCAGTCGCCAGAAACTAGCATGCAGGCTGGCTAAAATGACTCCGTTGCATGGGCGCTGTTTAATACGGACGAGACTGGACATTGGTGGCGCTGTTACTCAGCTAACGGGATCAACTGGGGCCAAGTTCGCGCAAGGACTATAGTTCGCCCAAAATCTGTCTAGTCGACGGTGGTTGACAACGCTAGTCGACTATTTGGAACCAGCCTACTGGGGTTGGTTGCTTCGCAGGTAACCAAGAGCCGCGCGCATTCATAACGCTAGCAGAGAGCCAGGATCCAGAAGTTTTGCGATGACATTTTGACCAGCGTTTGACTCCTAGAGACGTTCGCACGTTGCTATCATTGAGCAGGCGTAAGGTACGTCACAAATCAACCACTAGTCGACTAATGGTCCTTGCCCGAACTTGGCCTGGGATGAGGTCAACTTCGTTCCCAAGATGACGAGCAGTTTACGCTCCCACCACTTCCTGCTCTCCCAAAACAGCTTACTATTGAAAACGAGGTTGGAAATAAAGTAAGCTCTGGGAACAAGGTTGGAAGGGGGAACTTTATCCCTAAAAGGGTCGGGTTATTTTGACCATCTCTCAGCCGGGGGGGGGGGGGGGGGTTCACTCGGCCATCGAGTGACGAAAACGTTTGAAACTCGGTACATGCATAGAGCAACTCATCATAAACATACCCAAGAAATTTCATGACTATAGGTCAAGGGGTTTTGGAATTATGGCTAATTAATTATGTACGAATGGTAATTCTGCTCTGTGTAAACAACGTATTATGGGAAATTCAGTTTTCACGGAGCATAGCGCCGGAAATTTTTCGGTGCGCGGCAACACGTGATCCGATTTTTATATTTTGGGTATCAAAAGATGCGCAAGGCTCGAGGCTAAAAAGCCATAACAGCTCGGGTCGCGAAATTTTTTTTTAAGGCTATCGCGGAAAAAGTAGAGGCCCTTTTACCGTGCCCGTAACGGGGGAAGAGGTAGACTTCCTTTGGACCACGTTCCGGGCACAGAACTTGAGCGAGGCCCAGCTGCAACCCGACGCAGGGCTCTGGGTGGGCTGTCGGCGGACCGGCGGGGTGTGGGGCTGCACAAACACCACTACGCTAGATTTCGCACCGTGGAGAAACCAGCAACCTGACGGCATTGGCGACTGTGTGTTGATGTGGCACGGGTTGCCCAAGTGGTCCGACGTCAACTGCGGGAAGCCGAGGTTCACCGCGTGCCAGCGCCGAGGCAGTGCGGAGTGTGCGCGGCAGGGCCGGTGCCATCAGCGGGGCGGCCTGGGGCACCCGATCCACGGCTGCCTGCTGAACCACGTCCTGAGAGAAGTCCAAGTCAGAGACCCCGCCATGTGCTGCATCAAGTGCGTCGACGACCCGCGATGCCGCTCCTTCAACCTCGTTGGGAGTACATGCCAACTCAACACAGCCCAGCGCTCTGACGTCAACTTCAATGGAGAGACTGCAACCGACGACACTTGCGTGTATTACGAGATCGACTAGAAGTATGGTGATACTGTCCAAAAAATGTTGAGAGAAATGACAAAGAAAATCATCTTGAAAAACAACAAACTTTATTGTTTTAAATTTGAAAAAATAGGGAAAAAACGAGCCAATGAAATGAGGGAAACCATATGGACCATTTAAATTCAAAATGAACCTGTGAGACACTGAGAATACAACTTTGCAAGAATGCGTTAGTTGCGAGGCGATTGACCATTGTGGACTAAATTTCTGTTTCTTTTTTTGTAAAGAAAGACAATTAACTTAATTTGGACAAAGTAAATTTCAGCAAATCGACTTATATTTAATTGATGTGTGTTCGCTAATAATGATTGTTATGTTGGACGCTAAAGGACAGTAGATTACCTTGTTTTCTTGATCTGCATATAACTACTATATGTGCCAAAGAAACATGTCCTACTTTGATCCTAAAATATGTTGTTTAGCAATGGAATTAGGCCTAAACCAAAATTTTAGATCATGTAAACAAGGCATGACACATTTTATGGAGCGAGTTTCATTAGCTTTGTGCCAGGGGGTGAGATTTAAACGCCATACAAAAAAACTCGCTTTCAGAATCTGCCACTTTCGACTTGGCGTCCTCCAATGTCGATATATAGCGCTGGAGACGGTGACGGAAGGCGCGGGCTGCAGCCGAAAGCTTCTGAAGGAATGCAGGATCATCCCATGATGTCATTGCACACCTCCTCGATCGTTTGGCGCAACACATGATGGAGGAGGTGTGCAATGACATCAGGGGTGATCCTGCATTCCTT